GCTCGGGCGCTCTTCACCGCTGTGTCGAAGGCCCCGGCCAGCGGCCCGGCCTCCCAGTCTCCCCCGCGCAGGCTGAGCACCGGGTTCCCGGCGGCCCCCGCGCGGGCGGCGGAAGCCAGCTCCCAATTCGCAGCAGCTGGGAGCTCGCCCCACCCTCGGACGAACCTTCACCAATCGCACCCGGTGTCAAGCGATTGACAAGCGCGACGTCCAATCCGGCCTCTTCCTATCTGTCCATTTTAAACCGTGGTCTTTCTAGAAAATAACTGAGGTAGAAGACGCCTCTGTTGCGCCAGAACGTCCCAGAGTTGGCCTTGGCATCGGAAAGTAGGTGGAGTGATAGATCTTTTGCAGATGAGAAGAGTTTAGGAGATGGAGGGAAGGGGGCTGGAGGGGAAGGGAAAGTCAAAAGAATGAGGATGTGTTATGTTGACGGACCAGCTCCCGTGAGGGATGTGATCATTAAGTACTGCAAGCATGTACTAATAAAAATAAAAATTAGGGCTGGGGTTTAGCTCAGCGGCACAGCGCCTGCCTGGCAAGCGCGACGTCGTGAGTTCGATTCCCGGTACCGGAAACAAAACAAAACAATAGTAAAAACAGGAGGTTTATTTAAATAACAAAAAGGAAAGCAAGTGGAATACCCTGGGGCGAATCCCATTGCCCAAATAGATCATGTGCCTTTTTCTTTTCCTTTTGTACCGGGAATCAAACTCAGGACCTCGCGCTCGCCAGGCAGGCGCTGTGCTGCCGAGCTGTATTCCCGGCCCCATGTGCCTTTCTCTAAACGCTGGGTGACCGGCCTCTCCCCTGGAACGCAGCTGGGTTTCTCCCAAGCCGAGCTCTGACAGCAGCTCCCTGCCACCTTCCCAGTCTCAGTGACCGGTCCATCGCGGTGCCTGCTGTGAGCCTAGAAGCCTGAGGGATCCCTGATTTCTCTCTTTCCCCTTGAGCCCTCGCCCCTCTCTCACCTGCGTTGCTACCCCGCCTGAGCCCGCCATCAGGTTAGCCCGCTTCACGGCAATGGCCTGTTTGTTCCCTAGGACCGTGGTGGCAAAGTGCCGAAAACCAGCCTTCACGGAAATACAGTATCTGGCCAAGACTCACCTGAGCTGCTGTCACTGTCCCCGCCGCCGCCAGCAACGCCATGGCTCAGTACAAGGGCGCCGCGAGCGAGGCCGGCCGCGCCATGCACCTCATGAAGAAGCGGGAGAAGCAGCGCGAGCAGATGGAGCAAATGAAGCAGCGGATCTCGGAGGAGAACATCATGAAGGCCAACATCGACAAGAAGTTCTCGGTGCACTACGACGCCGTGGAGGCGGAGCTCAAGTCCAGCACGGTGGGCCTCGTGACGCTGAACGACATGAAGGCCAAGCAGGAGGCGCTGGTGAAGGAGCGGGAGAAGCAGCTGGCCAAGAAGGAGCAGTCGAAGGAGCTGCAGCTGCAGCTGGAGAAGCTGCGGGAGAAGGAGCGCAGGACGGAGGCCAAGCGGAAGATCTCCAGCCTGTCCTTCACGCTGGAGGAGGAGGAGGAGGGCGGCGAGGAGGAGGAGGAGGGCGGCGAGGAGGAGGAGGAGGTCGCCGTGGAGGAGGAGGAGCGGGCAAGGGAAGAGACCGCCAGGAAGAAAAGGAAGTTGGGCAAGAACCCCGACGTGGACACGAGCTTCCTGCCTGACCGAGACCGCGAGGAGGAGGAGAACCGGCTGCGGGAGGAGCTGCGGCAGGAGTGGGAGGCCAAGCAGGAGAAGATCAAGAGCGAGGAGATCGAGATCACCTTCAGCTACTGGGACGGCTCGGGGCACCGGCGGACCGTCCGGATGAAGAAGGGCAACACCATGCGGCAGTTCCTGCAGAAGGCGCTGGAGATCCTGCGCAAGGACTTCAGCGAGTTCAAGTCGGCGGGGGTGGAGCAGCTCATGTACATCAAGGAGGACCTGATCATCCCCCACCATCACAGCTTCTACGACTTCATCGTCACCAAGGCGCGCGGGAAGAGCGGGCCGCTCTTCAACTTCGACGTTCACGACGACGTGCGGCTGCTGAGCGACGCCACCATGGAGAAGGACGAGTCGCACGCCGGCAAGGTGGTGCTGCGCAGCTGGTACGAGAAGAACAAGCACATCTTCCCGGCCAGCCGCTGGGAGCCCTACGACCCGGAGAAGAAGTGGGACAAGTACACGATCCGGTGAGCCGGGAGGTGGCGTGGCCTCCGAGTGTCCACACGTGCCGGCCCCCAGACCCACCCTCCATGCTTTCTTTCTCAACTGTAAAGGAACACGTCCGTGCCGGAGGCCCGCGGCAGAGAAAGTGTGCTTAAAGTCAGTTTTTATTTAGATTAAAAAAAATAAAAAGAAATATGTTACCTCGCAGTTCTGGAGGCTGTAAATCCAGACTCAGGGTGAAGGCGGGCTGTGCCCTGTCTAAAGGCTGTGTGAGGAGAGGCGGGGAGCTCTTTCCAGCCCCAGCGGGTGGTGGTCAGGTCTGGGCCTTCCTTCTCAGCCGCAGCCTCGCGGTTCCCCTTCCCTGTGAGGATACCAATCACATTGCCTTAGGGCACATCGGAAGTTGGTCATCTGCAAGGATCCCTGCTTCCAAACCAGGCTACACTTACAAATGCTGGGGGTTAGGCTTTCAGCCTATGTGGGGAGCTTAAATCAACCCGGAATACCTGGTAAGGTCTGATTTTCAACAGTGACAGAAAATCTTTTATTTTCCTCTTTTTATGTCCCTGTAGTGCTTGGGATGGGACCTAGGCTTCCCCATCTGCTAGACAAACACTGCTGCACAGAATCCTCTTTCCCCTGTCACTCAGAATAAAATCCAGTCCATTCCATTGCGCCCCCCGACCCCCAGCCTCCTACCATTGTCCTGCCCCGCCACCGACTGCTCTGCCCTTGGTCTAAGCTGCCAAGCGTGTTGCTGCCCTTCCTCCTGCAGGCTGCTCTGCACAGATTTTTTTGTTTTTTGTTTTTCTTCTGGTACCAGGAATCGAACTCAGAACCTTGTGCTTGCCAGGCAGGCGCTGTGCCGCTGAACTAAATCCCCAGCCCCTCCTGCACAGCTTTTGCACTTGTTGCAGTCAGGCCTCTGCTTGGTTGTGCTCTTAACGGTCAGAGCAGTTCCTAGCCATTCTGTGTAAAATAATTCATTCCTTTTGCCATACTCCCGGCCATCTCAGCCGGAGACTATGCTTCTCAGCACTTTCACTGTTCACCATTCTCATGCGTTCATGGCCATCTACACCCCCGTCAGGTACAGAAACTGTTTTGTTCCATCCCAGATGCTCAGTGCCTGGCGCCTGCCTACGCAGGTGTGTTCTCATCCTCCCCCGACTCTCGCTTCTCTTAACTGACATAATAAAATTCACTAAGTGGAACTAGAATTCTGAGAGTTTTAACAAATGCATCTAATTGTGTCTTGGTCTGTTCCTGCTTATTTGATCTTGATACTGTGTAGTGCAGCCTGGCTTTGAACTCACTATGTAGCCCAGACTGGCCTCCAACTCGGAGATCCTCCTGCCTCAGCCTCCCGGATGCTGGGGTTATAGACGTGCACCAACATGTCTGGGTACATGTCTTATTTTTTTAACTATTCTGCCTGTTCAAGACAGTAAGTACACAGAAACGAATGAGTGCAGCAGCGGCCATGTGGCCGGGCAACCTGGCTCCCCACAGGGCCAGGCGTCCTCACCCTGGGGCTGGGAGCGGTGTGCAGGCCCTGAGGTCCGGGCGCAGGTGCAGTGAGTGGCCCTTTTCCAGGCTGCAACAGAGCTCACCGCGTGCATGGCCAGAATTGGAGCCAGTGGCCCTCCAGATGCTGTGCAGCAGCCAGCATGCCACGTTAGCTTTCGTTCCTGAGACATCATCCTCCCAGATACTTTAGTAGGAGAGCGAGAAACACTTCTGGACGTGCACACCAATACAGTACTGAAAACTGCTAAGCCGGGTGCGGTCCTGCATGCCTGTAACCCCAGCACTCAGGAGGCTGAGGCAGGAGGATGGCTGTGAGCTCGAGGCCAGCCCAGATAACATAGCAAGACCTGGTTTCAAAAAAGCACAAAACAGAGAATGCCACCTGAGGACGGGCAGAGGTGGCAGGGGCCCTGCAGGGCCAGGGGGGCGGCGCAGAGCAGGTTTCCCCCACCGGGAAGTCCGACTCCTCCAGCCTGCCTGGGTTCCTGACACACCGTGTGGAGTTGGGATCTCTTCCCTGAGGTCAGGGGATTGGGTTCAGCACACAGCGCCACTCCTCCCTGTGACTTAGCACCCTGAGGTGAGATGTGAGTTCTAAGAACCTCAGGAGGCCCTTGTGCTGTGACCCCGCCCCCTGCACCCCCAGCACTCACCCCTAGCTCCAGCTCCGGCTCCAGGGAGCTGTGTGTGGCTGAGGAAAGACGCTGTCCTTCCTGTGGGCCCAGCACACATGGGGCTGGAGAGGGGTCACTCTCTCCTCTTGGTCTAGGTCACTGTCCTGGTCTTCCCAGGTCAGTGCATGTGCCCCATCTCAGCCATAGCCCTTGACTGACCTCTGCCAGACCTTCCTCCCACTGCCAGCTGGACCCTGGGTTGAGGTTACTGGAGGCTTTGCCGGCTTGGGTGGACAGATACATAACTACACAGGCCGGCAGGAGAGGACCCCTGTCCCACTCTGCCCCAAGGTTTTATTTCCTCTAAGGTAGCCCTGCATCAGGCCAGGACAAGAAAGACACCGGGAAATAACACCTTTCCAAGGTTCAAACAAAAAAGCCAGGCATGGTGGGACATACCTGTCATCTCAGCACTTGGGAGGCTGAGGCAGTAGAATCACTGTGAGTTCAATACCAGCCTGAATTAGTGAGACTGTCTTAGAAAACATAAACAAGAATAAGAAACAACACCTTTCCAAAGGTAAAATGCACCTTAGTATTCACCCACAAAACTTGAAGAAATATTTAAAGCCAGAACGATCCAGAGGAATAAATGAAGAGAAGGAATCAAACACGGAGCAAACATGAAGGGACCATGATTAACGCAGCACTGGTGAAGACTCGGCTTCTCCCTGGGCATGGTGGCCCAGGCCTGTAACCCAGCACTCCGGGAGGCTGAGCCAGGAGGGTTACAAGCTGGAGCCCAGCCTGGGGAATTGGTGACTTAGCAAGGCTCTGCCTCAAAGTAACATTTAAAAAAGGGCTGGGGTTTGTGCAAAGAGAGAAAGGGAGACAGAGAGAGAGAGACAGAGAGAGACAGACAGGCAGAGAGAGGGAGTGAGGAAGAAGCTGCCCAATAGAAAGGCCATCTTGGCCCGGAGCGCGGCTCACAGCGTTGCTCAGTGGCATTTGCCGCTCTTGCTGCCGCTGGTCACCGCGAGCGTGCTGGGCGGTCTCTTTGCTTAGTGTTTAGTGCCCTCTACTGTCCTGGTGACTGTGTTTGACGCGTCCCATAAAGCCTGCGGACTGGCCCAGAACTAGTAACTCGAACCCTGCCACCTACTGTCCCGCCTCGGGCCGGGGGTTTGAGCTGAGGCCTGGACTCTCCCATTTCCCGTGGAGATGAAACCAAGTTAGTTAACCGAGGCCGGGGATATAGCTCAACAGCATAAGCGCCTGCCTGGAAAGTGCAAGGTCCTGAGTTCGACTCCCGGTACCAAAAAATAAAAAAAGTCAGCCAAGGAGAGTGGAACCACGTCGGGGAGAGCGAGCAAGGCCTTTGAGGGCCACTGCTTCCTCCGCAGGACTGAGCCGAGCCGCGGGCCTGGGCTGTGAGCCGGCACTCCGCCGCGCACTGCAGTGTGGGGTCTCCCAGGGTTGTGTGCGGCCGGCACCTGGCTGAGAAGTGACTCTGGAGCTGCAAAAAAGGTCTTCCTGTCCTTGGGGGCGGGGGCGGCTGTTTCATCCGGGGCCTTCACGGAGCGAGAGACTCAGGGAGGCTGACTTCGGAGAAGTGAGGCGCAGCTGAGGTGGGAGGCTCTTCGCAGAGCTGTGCTGTCCTGCTGTGCTCACAGAGGCCAAGCGAGGGAGGAATATCATAGGCGACACTGGGCAGAGGGTAACGCGGCCGACGGCGGAGGCGGTGCGTGCGGGCAGGAGTGGGGTCACGAGGCCAGGTCTGCCCCGTTCCTGAGGGGGGCGTGCAATTTGAGGTTATTAGTGCCACCCATGAGACTTCGCGCATAAATAAACCACCATCACATTAGGGCTGGGCCACCCTCTCCCAGCCACTAGGACTGGAGAAGAGACCAGCTACCGACTGCCCCGCAGGGCTCGTGGTGCCCGTGTGCCCCTGCTGCCCTTGGCTCGTACCGGCTAAGCGGCTACTCGACCTCACTGGTTGATCGGAGTTTTGACCCACGTTGTACGCACCTCGTGGGTTTGCTCCATAAAGCTTCCTTTGAGAGGTGGGCTCACTGGCAGCCCATTTGGGACCCCTCCTGTCCCTCGGAAGCTATTCCTATTCCCCATTCCTTTCCCCCAATAACTTTTCCTACTCCTAACCTCTGTTCCTTAGAATTCAGTCTTCACCTTTGGAGAACGCAAGCTCTGCAGATCTGCCTGCCCTCCTTCTTCTCCTCCTCCTTTTGTCTTTTTAGAGATGGGTCTCATTCGGTAACTTAGGCTGGCCTTGAACTCACGATGTAGCCTTGAACATGCAGTGATCCTCCTGCCTCAGCCTCCAGAGTGCTGGGGTGATGGCATTCCCAGCATGCCCTGCTGACATTTATCTTTTTCTTAACTCTTCTGCTCCTCTGGAGACTGCCCCAGGCTGCGACCCGCATTAACAGTTGTTTCTCTTTGTTGTGAGCAGCGCCCCAGGGTTCCAGCTCCAGAGCTCGCTCAACCTCCGCTCCCGGGACGTTTCTGGGTTGTTCCACTGCAGGTGGCCGTCCGTCCTCGGGAGCTGTGGCTCAGCAAGGCCCCCACTCCTCTCCTCCCAGTCTGAGAGATCGGTGCCTTGGCCCCACAAGCTTCCGCTGTGAACTTTCCATTCCTCATCTCCTTGGGCCTGCTCCC